TCTTCATACCACTCCTCCACCTCCGTTTTTGGAAGCTCATTGTCCTTCCAAGGAATGTAGTTGTCCTCCGTCTCTCTGCGCTCCCTCCACGTGGTCATTTGGATGTTCCAATTGTTGTAAACCAACTTCGCTAGTCTCTCGGGCAGGAGTTTGGTGCGTTGTTGTCCGTATAYGAGATGGTGCAAGCTCCAGTTCCGCTCGCACGCGGCCAAAGAGCTCACCTGGCCGAGAAGCTTGATGGTCTGCGGTTGGAGGAGGTCCAATGATCCCCCAAACGCCTCCCACAAGAGTGCTGGTGTTTGCACTTTAACCTGCTCCTTTGCAWTCTGTGTCCCGAATGTGCCTAATCCGCAGACCCAAAAGTCGACTTGCTTGCTGATTTCTTTCAATAGCTCCGGTGGTACCCAAGAATAGAGGCAGATGTTGAAACCCTCGCGGATCTCCGTGTCCCGCAAGGTCAGCGACTGATACTCCAGATCGAGAAAGGCTGCAGCGCAATGCAACTCGGATATCAAGAACGCCCACCGGTCCATGAGAATGTTCTCCACCGCTGCCTTTTCGTCATGCGTCAGACAGTCGAGGATCCCCATTTGTGCCACGATCTCGCGCATGCCGAAGTACACTTTGCTGACAGTCACTCCGAGATCCTCCACCAAACGCAGCAACTTGACTATGGGCTCCATGACAGCAATTGCTCTATCAACCTCATCCCAAAAGCCACTGTCAACAATCGTGCGCGTGACAGCGTTGAATGCCGCCACCTACTTAGCCCTCACCAACTTGTCAACCCACGCCACGTTCCCGACGCACAGCTCAGGTGAAGTCCTCCCTCTCATCAGTGACTCCAGCATTTTGAAGTTCGTTGCGAACCTCGTGACAGCTGGGCGTTTGAGTTGTGCGTTTGCAATTGTGTTGAACATCGCGCGGACCTTATCAATGTTGGTCGCAAACTTACCCACTCGGTTACCCTTGTCGACAATTTCCTTCATCCAGTCCAATCACTTGTACATGTCTTCCAACGTCAAGTCCAACGCATGGGCCGTGCAACCCACACTGAAAATCCCAGGGTACTTCGCCTCCACCATCTTTCCTGCCTTCGAACAAACCCTTGCATTGTCCATCACGACACCGACGATGGACCGCGGACCAATCTCCTCGATAACTYCTTCCAGCAGCTTGAAGTAACCCACTGAATCCTTGTCCAGGCCTTCCAGGCAAACAGACTTCCAAAACACAGTGCCAATCAGGGAGGAAACCATTGCGTGGAGATGTGGTTTGTTCCTCCTGTCCTACCACCCGTCCATTTGCAGCATGGGGTCCGTCCTCTCCCACTTCCTCACTAGACTCATCATGTCATCCCCAACAAGTTTGCGCTGCCCGTACAACCACTTCGTCCTCATCTCGTCCCTCTTGCACGGCCACCAACTAGGATGACACTTCTTAACTGCATCGATGAGCTGACGGAAGTAGTGGTTCTCAACCAAGCTGAACATATGATTTGTGCAAATCAGTAAACAGTCCAGGTGTCTGCTGGTCTGCTCATTCAGGGTGATGATGTTGGCCTCCTCCTCGATCAGAGTTTGCCTCGTCGACCGTCCAACCAACGGTGCAGCGTTCCCGGAYGTCGAGGGTGTGGTTGACTCCCCAACAACTGGAACAGGCGGCCTGCTCGCCGTCGGGAATGGGACGACCGAGGCGCTCCGAGAGGGAGCTCTGCTCGGACCYGCACCCGCGGTTCCCTTCCCTCTGATAAGGGATTCCGCCTGCATCGTTCCCATYCGAATCCCCTCTATCCTCSTCACCCTCTCCTCTGCGTCCAACTTGTGTGTGACACACTCAGTACTACACTTGCCCTTTAAGAAGTGATCCCTGAGGTTGGTGGCCGACCCAACAAACC